CATTAAAATTTAAAGAAAATATTCGACCTCTAAGTATGGCAAATAAGGAGATGAACCGGTTTGTTGAATTTCATCCACTTTCTGTTAACCGATTTCACTACAACTTGGTACATAGATTGTAATTCAAATGAAAATAAAGCTCTGTGAGCAAACTTTTAGATAAGATAAAAAACTTAACTTGTCTCAAATAATATTTTTACACCACTAGGTTTCATTGGGTCATAATTCCCCACTAAAGCTTAACGATAAACACTCTATACAAACTATACAGTGTGTTGATTTGCGTTCTCGCCATATTTTGGAAATTAATATTAGAAATAATGCTAAATCATCTAAAATACTAAAAAAATTATACTGTTCAATATTCTGGCTAATTGTATCTAGTAAAGTTTTGCAAAATTGTCTCAAGTCGTATGCACCACGCAAGGGCAATGACCCCGCCACCCGCTTTACCGAGGGATACGTAATCTTTCTCGATCGCTTATTTACCTATTTTTTTAAATTTACTATCGATATCTGAGTTCTTGCTCAACACATGTAATATTTTACTAAAGTAATAAATGACAAAAAGCAAAGAAAAGTATCTTATGCCAATCCATGGTAATGGTTTTCGTAATTTCAGACGGATATCATGTAACAAAAGTTGTTCGTAGGAATACTCGTATTCTAGATTAAATCATCACTTAAAAATCTTACAGAATTGTAGGTATTACTATATATTTTATTACTAAACATGTAGATTCTCCTGCTATTGGTGTAGTACTCTAATGACAGTAATTTTAAGTGTACCACTATCTGTTAGCTCATCGCTCATTGTAAATCGTTATTTTTTATGCTTAAATGCTATCATCAACGTCATTGTTTAACCATAATCTTCGTATTAAAATTTAATTAAAATATTCATTATTAACATTACAAAAACCGGTGAAGCCAAAATACGAGGAGATTTAATTTTGAATTTACACGAACGGTAACAATGGAAGGATTATGAGAAAAATTATTTCACGCAAAAGTAATCTTTCACCTCATAATTTCACGTATAAAAAAGTTGTACATACCTTCAGTTCAAATCTTTACAAGATAAACTTGCTTATGATTTTAATGTTTATAGATATGGGTTTATATATTTGCTGATGTTATTCTAGTACAAGAAACAGTACAATTATTTTAATAAATTACTTTAATAGTACAAAGTAAATATTAAAGTAACTTAGATATTGAAGACGTCGTTTAGTAATTCACAATACAGATCATGTTATATTTCAAAACTTATATTGTCGTTTTAAATGTCACGTCATCGTTTACTATTTTGTGCAGCTTTCAAAGACAATAAACCTGAGATATTCCGAGATGGTTTTTGATAAACGAATAGCATCTGACTTTACATAGTTCAATCCAAAAAGTGGAGACCGAATTCTCATTGGAAATTCAACTAATAGTGTGGAAAGGCATCTCGGGTACAATGCACAGCATGGGGATACTGGTAATAGGTTGGCACAGTTATTCGGGTCTACAAGAATGTTTACGGCACGCGGCTCAGCCGATATAAAAGCGAAGCTACGCTGCCGTGCCGCAATCTTCCATTGGTAGTAACATACTACCACATTTTCACGTTCACGTTCTAAAAAAGAGTTGAGAATTAAACAATGGCTGCAGAGCTTTAATAAAAAATTGCTAATGATAACTTACGTAGTACCAAATTTTAAATGTAAGCTGAGAGACCAAAGTCTCTATCAAAGTACAATCCTGCTAGCATTTGCCTAAATTGCAATGTAGTAATAAAGGCATGTAGATTTTAAGACCTTCGTGAACATTAAATGATTTTCACTAATTACAGACGTAATGACCAATTAACAATCGATTGACCCGTGTTGAGTCAATCAGTGACCATGAAGCGTGTAACCGTTCCGAATTATCGGGAAAATAAAAGAACTCGTGCTCAGTTTTCCGTGATCATAGAGCGTATAACCGTCCCGAAACATCAAACAAGTAAAAGGACTCATACCGTGGTAAGAAATCTGTAATGATAATCATTTAATGTAGGCACAGTCTGCCGGATACGGCGTGGCGACGTCGGGGTCAACCATAAGTGGATCGAGCAATGCTATACACCCATTGAAACGTTTCAGTTACCACTGACCAAACTGAACCAATGACATTTTATATTAATTAGGTGTATTGTCTTTCAAATAACGATTTAAAGCAACATCATACGTCTAAGGAAGGTAGAAGCGGCGACTGTGCGGAGAAAAATCTAAATTAGAACTTGCAAAATAAGACACGGGAAATAAGAATTTGCAAAGTTAAGAATAAGCCTTCTTTTGTGTAAAATTCCCATCAGAATTGCAATTTCTCTGCCGCAGCAAAGAAAACGAGCTAGTTATGAGCTCACTACGTCGGAGTAAGCAAGTTGTCCGTTGCAGCCCGGAACCATAAACCTACATTCATGTGAAGGCAGTACGGGCTACATAGCGTCGTATCTAGACAGTAAATCATTTTCATCGTCGACCCCAATGACTGGATTCCTATGGGTGTAAAATTCCTAAATCAAGGCGTCTTACACATTTTGGGTTACGAACATCGATATTGCTACATATCTGATTTCTCCCACTGCAGTGACTCTACAGAAGTTGCACGAGAAATACGGTAATCCTAGGACTGCACTTTTCCTTCCCCGAATAATCTGAAATCGATAAAATGTGCTCTCCGAGGTGTGGTTAGATAGACGGCGAGTCATTTCCGAAACAGCGTCCAAAGATCAGGCTTTATTCAGCTCTATGTGTACACATCGGTTTTAGTACTTACGACAGATCGTGGTTTGTTATTATAGGCAAAAAAGTGATGAAATAGCATCGTAAATACTATACGGGTGAAAATAAAATGCTATTGTTTTCATTTGTACTTATAGGTACAGAATAGGTATATACCTATTCGTATAGACGAATATAGTTTTTACTTACCTACCACTTACATTTCAAACATAATCTAGCTTAGTTTCATGAAGAACAAGTTATATTCAGTCGTTTGAAAGGTCGCGTGTAAAAATAAGCAAGTTTTATATAAGCAACAACATTAACTTACGTAATAAATGTTTGCTTGACTCCTCAGTCAACATTTAACGAGCTGCCGTATCTGCCATCTGTATCTATCTAGTTAATATTTCGGGCGTATTTGTAATCTGGAGAAATAATTCACGGCACATCTTTGTACTACATTTCAGATAGTAAGCGGTCACATAATGTTTTAGTGTACACTGAACAGCGTAAAACTAAAGACAATAAGAGAATTCGACGAGAATCAGATAAGTTGCCAGAGGGCCGTTTGTGTGCTAAACACCGCTCGTCGTCTCAAAAGCTGTAGTTTCGTAAAGTTTAAACAAACAGTGGCGTAGCATTAACATAACATCCTACAAAGGCGAATGAAACAAAAAGAAACCGTTATAAAGTTTTGTAACACCCATAACAGCTAACAGTTTAGAGCCGGCAAAGTATCTGCGAGTGTATGAGCCGGTCCGTGATGCCGGCCAGACGTGACCGGCATAACACTCAGTTCCCTGCGGCCAGACCAAGCGATATTTGCTTTTTTTTATTACCACATCCATATTCCAACACGAATACCCTCAACAATATTTGGAAGTACTGAGAGCGCTAATGCGTGCGTGGCAGGAAAGATGATTTCGTCCCTCTATTCAATATTCCCTACGAAACTTAGAAAACCCACAATTGAATTGTTAATAGTGGTTGAGGCGGGGATCGTGAACGGTCTACTTTTTATCGCTAACTGTTAACATTTGGGGAATTAGTATTCCCAGATCGAATAACGAATATTAATTAAGTAAATGTTTGAGAATACTTTATGCAATTTTGAGCTTGACCCTAAGTACGAAATATTAGAGTTAGCATCGGTATGCGTTACAGGAAATTTGAAATAAATCAAAGCCTTTTGCTAATAACAGTTTATTATCCTTGTTCCTGTATCAGCGCAAAATTTTGCACTGAATATTCGGGGATACCGTCGTCGCATTAGTATGCTGCACACTTCTTGTTGAAATAATCTGAAACAACGTTAAGTAATATTACGTGTCACGGCTACATCTATTATTTCTCGCAATTGTACTCTACTTGTAAGTTTTTTGTGCTCTTAACTACTTGTTTTCATATTATTAAGTGTACATATGGGATTAAAATGAATAATAATTGGATAAAATCGTCAGACCATAAATAGTCTCTAAGTATCATTAATCAGGTGAACATTATTAAATTAACAATGAGATGAGTCAGCTCTCGGAATCAAAATAACGAGTAAACAAATTTTGTTGTGTCGTTTTAGGACAGCGTTAACCGTATTTTCGCAAAAATACGGTTTTCGATTCCGTATTATAACATCAGGTCCTCTCATAAATACGGAAGAAACTGAACATCACAACAGGAACTTATTGCGCAATCCTGTGCGGATTAAGGAGGGAGATGCGTTCGGGCGTTTTTTAAACTTTTTTCTTTAGTAAAAAAGAAAAGAGAACCGAAAGCGCAACGGTGGGATGTATTAGCCTTCTATAATGACGTAATCATTTCTCCTACGCTTCTAACGCTTATTATATAGGAGGCTATGAGTATAAAAATTTAAAAGCTACAATTAATAGCGTAATTTTTGCGAATATTTTGACTCTTGATACACTTTGTATGCAGCATTAGCAACCACGCCCCACGGGTTAGTAATGGTCAATCTGGCAAGTCACGCAAGAAGATGCGGTAATGCCGATCGTCTAATAATTTTACTGCTTAATTCAACTTTGATCAATATAAGATTGATTCATAATGCTCTTTATCGAGTTGGCATTAACGCTGGTTAAGGTTTTGGAACCAATCACAATGGTTACTCATACAAAAATATTTCCTATACACGATTAATTTATCTATATTTATCCGTATCGTATTATTTCATTGGTAATTAGATATAATATGTTTCTTTTTTTATCTTCAACAATGTATTTTTTGTTTCAGTTTGTAACCAGTTCACTCGCGGAGTGATCGCAATGCTGGGAGCAGTAACGCCTGACTCTTTCGACATTTTACATTCTTACACCAACACTTTTCAGATGCCATTTGTAACCCCGTGGTTTCCGGAAAAGGTAACTTTTACTGCTATATGTCGCTTTATGCCCGTAAGCTTCCTGTTAAATTTTTGACCTTAATCATAAATCCCCTTAAAAACTATGTTTATTATATTAATTTTAATACCGAATATACAGTAGAGCTCCTTGTGAAAGAGTTCGTCCAAAGAAGTACTGCCACCTTACCTATTCCTGCCGCCAAGCAGTAATATGAGCATTACTGCGTTCCGATTTGGAAGGGTAAGAGTTGTCAACTTATTAGGTCTCGGGGTGACGGGTGCAGTGACAGTGCCCCTCAGATCTTTGAAATTTAAACTCTAAGTGCCACTGCAACTGTTACGGACAGGCGTGTCGCTTATCACCAGGCGCACGACTTGTTCGTCACTGATATCACGTAATGTCACTTGATATTATATAAAAAAGTTAGCCTGTATGGTACGAGTATTACGAACCTCGACTCCAAATGCCCTCAGTCTTCGACTTCGAGCTTCTTATAGAGTCTCGTTTGTAATTCCTTATTCGCCGTTCTGTATTAACACAATTTACATTCGCATTTTGTGCATAATTATAATCAGCACAATAATTTATTACCACAATATTGTGTACACTTCAGAAATTATGCGGATGTATTTTCTGAAAATTTGGCTTTAGTAGATACTTTGTTTCAATTTTTTTATTTGTCTTTTAAAACGTATTACACAACAATGTTTCTAGTCGCATTTTAGACCACTAAGGTTCGTGGTAATGCGAACGGTATCCACAAAATCTATATGTTCAATTTGCTAACAGAAAAGTTTTGGTAATTTGCATAAAATAATCTATCATTAACCAAAAACATTATACAGAAATTGGATAAATACATTTAGAAACAATCAAATTTATCTTAATTGATTAAGCTGTTTACAAAGTATTTTTTTTTAGTATCAAAATGACTTTTGAAGTTTACTTTTTATATTAGTGGTTGTTATAGAATTACAAAATTCTAACGGTAACTCGTTTAGTAGTCGGGGAATAAGGTAGGTAGAGGTAAGGTAGGTAGTAAGTTCTTTTTTTAGTAGCAGTAGAACTCCGAAATAACACGAGTATTAAATATTTATTTTAAGAAACTGATTCTTTTAACTTTAAAAAAAATCGTCAACTTTATTCATTTTGTATGAAATAATATTTTATGAAATTTGACCAACTTCAGCTGTCCCGATTTTTTCGTCTTATATAATGAAATGATTTCTTCATAAAACTGAGTCGCTGAGTCTGAGTCTTCATGAAACTCGATCAACATAAAAAATTATCAATTTAATTCATGTTTATGGACAACACAGGCTTTTTTATCAAAAATTGACTAAAAGTTGTTTTCAGAAAATAAGACTCAATAGCTCCTAAGATAGTTTCCTTGTTTCCTGTATGGTATTGGATTTCTCCATACTGTTCCATTTAAAAAAAGGCTCTGTTTTACATATACATATACATATAACACGTAAAAGTTTTTTATTTTCGTACCGTATGTCCTGCTCACACAAGCCTCAAAAGTTATGTTGTATTTATATAATTTCCCAGATTTGACTTTCCTTTAATCAGTATTAGATCTGTATTTGTAGATCTAAATCCGGGACATAGTACGCCAGATTTCATCTCTACATACTTTTACAAGACTTTCCTTGTGAGCGAAGTGCACCAAATTAAACTTAATTAACTGTCTTAATCTTATCTGAGACCTGCATGATTCCGCAGTAGTCGCTTTCATATTGTGAATTCCCCGAAATACTAAATGTTTTAATTAGAAGGAAGACCGGTTTTAATAAAAAAATTAAAAGTTCTTGACTTTCTGCTGCTTCTCACTAGAAAGTTAGAACGCGAGTGTTAATTAGCGAGCAATAGTTCAACTTGTTTATTCTGTATTGGACGTACTTGGAAATGGCTGATCGTAAATAAACCTAATTAAAAGTTGTAAATAAGAGGATTTTGGAAACCCAGAGCAATTATTATATATAGTAGTAGGAGGCAGTTATAAGTTTAAATTATATCAACAGTCCACAATTGTTACTTCATTTTAATTTAGGAACTACGACCATTACCAAGATTTCATAGCGATTAAAATTATGGATGTGTGAGTTTTGGCGACAGCGGTTGTGATAGTAATCGAGGCTTGAGGCCTTTTCATTGTTTTTTTTTTGTTCCGTGTTTGCAACAGCGGTATTTTTTCGTACATATAAGTTTTATGTTCTTAGGTTTTCCCCTATTTCTTTAACTTTATATTCAATAACGTATGACGATTATTTACACGGAAGCAATATGTATTTACCTAAATGATACTATTACACCTACTATTATCCTGTTTTCCCTTGTGGCGCGGTTTTACATATTCTCTATCACTCCTCAGTGAAATTCCGTTTTAAGATAAAAATAAACGTACCTGATTTCTTTTTATTACCTATTTTGAGAAATTTGAAAGTCTTTGTTTCTATTATTGAAAATTTCAACCTAGTCTACGAGATAATGAAATTACATCATGTTTTGAATTTCAAGAATTATCCTTTAAACAAATGCGAGGCTGCTTACATTTAAAGATATACATAATTTTTTTAAAGAGATCTATAAAATATTGCACTGGTTCCCTGATAATTTTGCCCTCTTTTGAATAATCACTCTTTATAAGATACGAGTATGAGAAAGTAAGGCAACGAAATACCGAGTTCTAAAATGTTCGCGATTGTTATACACAGGAAATGAAATTTTAAATTTTTTCGCATCTAAATCAGGTACATTTGCTTTTTTCAAACAAACCAATGTATCGGTCCCTTTTACAGAGACTAAATGTTACCTATGATGGTACCTGTAAAGGACCCGAAACGTTAGTTTGCTTGCTAGATCCGAAAAAATAGTTTCATTCAGTCAGATTGAAGGAGTTTTTCTTTGCATATAGTCACTGTCACTTTTTTTTAAATAATATTGGTCACTTTTGTCACGAAATCCTTAAAAATAAAACTGCCGTCCACTAACTAAAACGCGGCTAAGAGACAAATCTTCGAATATCCGTTTTAAACAGCAAAAAATAGAGCACAAAATTCTCTTTTAAAAATAATTACAATTAGTTAACGTGTTCGACCTATCGGAATACAACCAATAGTACTTTTTCAGGTTCTTCCTCCAACATCGGGTCTTGTTGATTATGCAGTGAGTATGCGACCTGACTATCATCACGCTGTTATGGATGTCATCAGCTACTACGGCTGGAAGAATATTATTTACCTCTACGATTCGCATGATGGTACGTATGACCAATTTATTATTTACAATGTAAATTTAATTTTAGCTTGGCGTACCATTTTCATCGAGGCGATTCAGACTGCCCAAATTAGTGACCTGCGGCACATGATTGGCAGCGCCTAGCAATTTTCGCCGCATTCACAGGAATCTTAGTATAATGAGTATGGTACCTCCACACAAACGTAGCAGCGCGGCTTGTATGAGTGCACGCCCGCTGCGCGCCGTGTACGGACGCACAAATTTTCATAATCTCGCGATACACTTGCGTTGCATAGCGCGGGTCATCACACGCGCCATTAATTGGGTAATTTTCAGATTTGTTTTCTCTACCCAATTTTGTTGACAATTTTTATTATTTATGTATTCGCGTCAATTATTATATAGGTTACTTCACTCGAATGTTAAATAATACTTCATGTTAACATTCCACAATATTTAAATAATTGAAACTGCCACCAAAATAGGTACAGCAAATTTACCTGAAAATTATATAATTTTCAGGTACATTTGTGTGTTTAATAATCTCAATACAGAGTACTAAAAAACCGACCTCAAAAGTTCGTGGAATTACTTTCGGTTACGGAAAGTTCGGGAAATCAGATTCATCCCCTAGTTTGCCACCCTTTAGGTGGAATATTTTCTTCAAATCTAAATGAGACGACTACTGAGGTATCCTCTTTCCAACAAAAAAAAAATCATCAAAATCGGTTTACAAAGGCCGGAGTTATCGCGTAACATACATACAAAAAAAGGAAAAAAAACCTACTCCTTTTTTGAAATCGATTAAAAAATGACGTCAAATAGTGAACATTCTTATTGGCGTGTTTATGGTAGTTTGAACAAGGGCCTCAAATTCAAAATTGTTCAGCATTTTATTTCTATTTCATAATCACACTCCATAATCAAGATACCAATCCACGGTGCTGGTATACAAATATCAATACGTACGTACTAACTGCATTTAACAAAGATTATTCAAATACATCACGAAAAAAATATGATGAACACCTTTTTTTTAAATCATGTTTACAACCTGTAGGTGCAACTAAAATAATAATATAACCCTACGCTTCTAGAGACGTGTAGGCATTTACTCGACGAATAGGCGGGAGTTGCCCTACTTATTATACTGTGCAGATATTACCTCTTCGCTGTGCCCTGATCCACAGTCTGTGACACGCTCCCACTCCATTCACCCCTTAATCAGGTACTCAAGCACTTGAATGCTCTCATAGCTCCAGCTCCAGAATGCGAGGTGTGCGATGAGATATCGGAAGATGTATTTAATGGATTTTATTTTTTTAATTTAAGTGGTAACATGGTGGTTTGGGTAAAAATAAATAAATAGACATTTGTCGTCACTATGTTTTAAACATAACCTACGTACGATGCAAACAAGGTGGCAACAAACTACTCTAAATCGATGTAGTCCTGAACTAAAGGAAACATTCAAACGATGAAAAGACGACTCATTTCGTAAATGTAACATACACCAAAAACCAAGTACTTACTGTAAACTCCTTTTAAGACTCTATTCAAGCATTCTTTACATTAGACCTCGGGTGTTACGTGGTTTAGGTATTCATTGCAATAAGAGAGTCCGTCAGGAGGCATTGCTACTATCTCTCGAAATAAACAACGCTTCACACACAGTTCACTAACTCGATCAGATAAAGAAGTTAGCCGCAGAGCAAAGATTAAAAAGGGCTCCACATGACCCAAGCCAGAACAATTCCGATACAATCTACGACCTAACCCCAATCTTGCCAAATTTCACGTGCCACTGAATAACAATGTTTGTATGTAGCTCAGATCACACAGAAACACATAAACGACGTACTAACAGACACAGTAATGATGTCTCCGGGCCCTCATTAGGGAAAAAGGGCTTAGCACGTCATTGAAACCGGACGCGTCACAAACCGTACGTCGATCGAAACATTAATCACTTGGTGGATTTTTTCCCCGTAACTTTACGTGAGGTACATGTGTTGCGAATAGAAGGGAAAATTTTAAAATTTTATGCAGTCATTAATACCACTATCATTGTTATAATCATTGTGATATATATCAAAAGTTTTTATTCCCGAGCCCCAATTACGGATTTGGTTAGGTATTATATTTATTTAGGTATCCAACCTCATTAAAATTCTAGTCCAGTGTCAATTAAAACGGGTAGATGTTGTAAGCCTTAATTTCGAGGGGAAGGTAATACAGTCGCGTGTATTATAATAATAAATTTTACTACTAATAGTCTAGTTTGTTAGTAAACAATGTTGATTTTTAAAAAATATGTTAGCAATACTAAAAAAAAGAAATTAAATTAAAACACAGTTTAAGAACAAATTATGCTTCATACGCGAGGCGAAAAAAGCTGCCACATAGAAGGCGAGTTGCGTCTACTGAGAATCGCTTCCAGTACAGGGTTGGAGCTGGTACGCAACCTACAGAGCAATAAGACTGACTTTTACACATAATGGCATAAACGTCACTCGTATGTGTCGGAGTAAACATGCCTGACGCATTGCAGAATCGTGGCAGCCCCAGCAACATCCGAAAACCATTGTATTGATATACATTATAAATATCAAAATAGATTGAATAGAGTGACAAAACATAATATTTTGAGAAACGTTTAGTTATAGTTTAATTACGCTTTGAAACATAAAGCGTAATTGAAATGAAATAAATATTCGTAGTAATTAATTAATACACGTGTTCATGCATGTGACTGCATTTAGTTTTCAATATTGACTTTAGCCAGACCCACTGCAAAGCAAAACAGGTAAATTTTGGAATTGAGAAATGAACAGACACCTACCCGGAAATGTATGTATATGTAGTGATAACTCATTAAAGATATTTTTCTCATTCAAGTACATTTGGATGTGATTTTGAATCACAATTGATATTTCAACTGTCTTCAAGAAATTTCACATAAAAAATGATAGGTATACAAAATTGTAATAAAAACTTTCCCTTGACTGTCCAAGATACCTTAAAAATATAATATCTAACTTTCCAATTTTCTTCCGTAGACACAAGCAGGGATGCTTCTAAATCACTTTTGCTCGTTTTACAACTTTTCACGAAACCGAATTTATGATATACTTTTTAACAACCTTGTATGTGCGTTAATTTATAATTATATATATATATATATATATTTATATATATACATACATATAATTAATTAAATTTATAATTAATTGTAGTTAATTTATAATTGTATATATATATAGTTAATTTATATATATATATATAT